ATCAGCCCTAGTCCTTGATGCTCTACAACAGTGGTTTTCAAACTGTGTGTATGTGTGTATGTGTGTGTGTTCCAAAAGTCCTGGAACACAAAAAAAATGGGCAGAACTTAGCCCTTCCTATGTGTTAAAACCCTCCCCCCCCCCCCAAAAAAAAAAATAGTTTTAACCAGAAGAGCTCCATTTTAACCTATCTTATGGACTGGAGTTCTGACCAACATTTTATTAAAGAAAAAAAATCTTTTAAAAAGAAAAAGGAAAAAAAGAATGGAAACGTTTGAAAACCACTGCTCTGGGATGGGCAAGACTTTGGCTGGTGCCCTAGGGTGGTGAAAGGCATACCGCCAGGCAGCAGTCATTCCCCTGCACTGAGCCATCTGCACAGAGCCCGATGCTATGTCAGGGAATGGGACAGACTGAAAAAAGGCAAGGATACCACCTTTAGGCTGGGAATGCACAGCCATTTTTTTATTCTAATTCAGCCACTGTAGTAGAGATGGCCCCTATTTTCAGGGCTTACAGCATGGGCAGGAGGTAAGCTTCAGACATTTGGACAAACCATCAGCTTAAATTCCAGGCCTAGGCTGCTTGAGGAAGACCTCCCAGAGGAGCGTGGCCTTAATGTATGGTTTGGCAGGAGGGTGGTAGAAAGAGAGGAATGGGAGAACAGGCTCAGTGTAGGGGAATTGGTGCCCCCCTTTCCCTCCATACCTACCCCCTATCTTGGGCTGTCTCTTCTACCCAGAGTATCAGAAGGGTCCCTGTAACTAGTTGCTGCCTCTTGAGAGCTGAGACCTGAGTGCCTCTACTCTCCTCCCAAGGCAGCACTTCAATGCTTGCTGGCAATACATGCCCATTGCTGGCATGTTGTATTCCCAGAGAAGAGGTGGGTAGTATATGCTTTGTCTCTCTTGTCATGGACTGTATCACCTCCCAGGCCCCATACCTTGAACAGCACCAGCATGTCTAAGGCATATCAGAGCACCTTCACAGGCGAGACCAACACCCCATACAGCAAGCAGTTCGTGCACTCCAAGTCATCTCAGTACCGGCGCCTGCGCACGGAGTGGAAGAACAATGTTTATCTGGCTCGGTCCCGTATCCAGGGCCTGGGCCTCTATGCAGCCAAGGACCTAGAAAAGCACACAATGGTCATCGAGTATATTGGTACCATTATTCGAAATGAGGTGGCCAACCGACGGGAGAAAATCTATGAGGAGCAGGTATGGGCTGTATGAAGGGCTGTTGTGGTCATTGTCCACACTCAGCCAAGGAGCAAGGGGAAGGTTTGGGCTCAAGACGGCAGTCAGAAAGCAGTGCATGATGGGAAAACAGGAGAAATGGATATACCACATAAGTCCACTTACCTCAGTCTGTTTACCTGATAACCTTGTCTGTCTTTCTGCAACTTCTGCCTTTGTAGAATCGAGGCATCTACATGTTCCGAATAAACAATGAACATGTGATTGATGCTACGTTGACTGGAGGCCCTGCCAGGTGAGAGGGAGGAAGGAAGGATTTGGGTGGCAGGGCCAACAAGGAGCCAATATTGTCTCAGTTGCCTAGTATTAATGACTTGTGTCCCACTGGGCAGGTACATTAACCATTCCTGTGCCCCTAACTGTGTGGCTGAAGTCGTAACATTTGACAAGGAAGACAAAATCATCATCATCTCCAGCCGGCGAATCCCCAAAGGAGAGGAGGTGAGAAGAAGAATCTTGAGGACTTGACAAAAGTAGCTGTTCCTTCTTTCCTGGCCCCCTTTTCTATTCTTTAGGAGTTGGGTTCTGTCACATTTTGGCCCTCTGCTCCCTTCCTTTGGGAGCAAACCTTGATTCTACCCTCTTTTTTTTTTTTTTTTTCAGCTGACCTATGACTATCAGTTTGATTTTGAGGACGATCAGCACAAGATTCCCTGTCACTGTGGAGCCTGGAATTGTAGGAAATGGATGAACTAAGAAGCTTTGAGGCTACCAGGCAGGGGAGTCCTACCCTCCAACCTCTTTCCCGCCAGGGATGAAGGGGAAGAGAGGTAGCAGCCAGAGCCAGGACCCAGGGCTGGCGCTGCCAGCTGACTGGAGCCCCTGAAGCAGGAGGCTGGGGCAGAGGGCCCTAGGCCAAACCCACCCTGGGCACCAGGGACAACCCTCTTCCCCACCACCGGCCCTCAGGCTGGCATCTCTGCCCCCAGCTCCAAGAGGGGCTAGATAGAAGCAGCCATGGGCATCTCAGGTTTGAGGGGGATATGGGCCGGGAACTACCCAGAAGCATCTGGGAGGCAGCAGGGAGGGGGGAAGAGGATGTGTGGCCAGGCCTCACAGCCCTGCTGCTCCCACTGACCTCTCTGGCCCAACTCAAGGCTGCAAAGAGACTTGACTAAGCTTGACAATCCCAAAGGCCGGGTCCCATACCTGGCCCTGCCTGCCGGGTCCTGCCCCCACCCACCCTCACCCCCATCCCCTTCCCTCTCTATCTGTCTCTGTCTCCCTCTTCTCCTCTGTGTTTCTGTCTCTCTATGGGTTGTGTTTCCTTGTTTTCCACTCTGACAAATGCAACATGAACGGGAAAGAGGCATCCAGCTGCCCAGGAGGGCGAGCTGGGCAAGCCGGGCAAGGAGACCCCGCACCCACACCTACCTCATTTAAGTGTTGGATTTTTTGCTGTTTTGAAATGTGAGACCCTCTCCAAGCCCCCTACTGCCCCAACCCTCTCCCCCACCTCACTGCCCTCTTCTGAGTGGGTGGAAGGGGGGGTAGGAGGAGGAAGAAAAAAACAACAACAAAAAATCCATCTTTGTTTTTAATTCTGGGCATGGGATGGTGGTTGAGGCAAATGGTGATGAAGATTGGGGATGACTGGCCCCTAGTTGCTCTAGGACTTCCTTCTCCATCTGGACATGGGGGCAGGAGCGGTGTGCTAAACCTAGGACCAGGACATTTCCCCGCTGTTTTCCCAACCTCATCATGAGCCCATTTGCCCTCCAGCCCCTGGATGGGGTCAGTGGGGGGTAGGGTGAGGGCTATCCCTGAGTGGCATGCCCATACCTAGTGAGGCAGGGTGTGGCCTGGAGCTCCCACTTTTCCTCAGTCACCAAACTGCTGCTGGTCTGGTGGGAAGGGGTGGTGATGTGGGGGTGGGGAGCTTAGTGTCAGCGCGGGGAGGGTGGGGGGTATTTATCTATTTATACATGGGATTGTACATAGTCTTGTGGGGCATGGGGGAGCCGGCTGGAGGTGAGAACCCTCCCCTCTCCCCTCACCCCCGGGGAGAGCAAATGTAAAACTACTAATTTTTGTGCTTTATATATTCTATATAAATATATCTATTTTCTTTTTACAAAACCAGTTTATAAATGGTAGGGGGGTGTGGGGCGGACAAATGGAGCTCCCCTTGTGGGGGAGCCCCCTCCATTACCCAACCTACCGCCCTTTTTCTCACCCCCCCCCACTCCCCACCCCCCTGGCTGTGACTGCTGTAAGGTGGGGGTATAGAGAGAGGCTGGGTGATTTCTACCCTGTTGTATAGTTGGACTATGTTATAACGCACAAAAGTGAGCTGGCCCCAGGGGGAGCCAGAGTGTGATGGGTTCCCTGCCTCCCTTTCCTTCCCCTTTCTGCCCAAGCTTGTGCTGCAGTTGAACCTCTTCCTGGGGGTGTGGGTAGGTAGAGGATGGGTAAGGCCCCTGTCCCCTCTCTGGTAGGGAGCCATAGGATGATGGTGAAGCTTATATGCAGTTCTCTCCTGGGGGCTGGGGGCGAAGGGCATTTTGTAATTAATATTTTCAAGAATCAGATGTCGGGAGTGTAGGGGTGGGCTTGGTGGTGGCAGATGGGCTGGCCTGCTGGAGGGGAAGCATGGTCGCTGTTGTGATTTTAGGTTTGTTTTTGTTTTGTTTTGAATTGCGGGGTTGTGGATTGATGGGGGTAGGGAGATTTCTTTCTTTTTTTTTTTTTAAGTTGCTTCAACTGTTTCAAGCTGCAAATGTTTAAGAGAGTAACATCCCCCCCCCCCCACTCCCACAGGAATCACTGCAATTAGATCAGACAGTGGGGAGGATGAGCTGCTGCCCCCCAAAGCCACAGCAGAAAGGTGGAGGCTACTGGGAAGGAGATAATGCTCTGGGAAGTCAGGCTGTGGTTGTTTGGGGCTTGGGCCCTGGGATTAGGAAAAGGAGATAGGGCAGACTTTGTAAGCATATGCTAGGTATCCCATAGTCCTGTAGAATTTAGTGAACTCTTATACAGTTTTTAATTTTTATATAAACTATAACTCAGACCCAAGCTACAAGGTTGGAATTTTGGTTGTTGGTTTTTTTTGTTTGTTTTGTTTTTTTGGGTTTTTTTTTTTTTTTAAGAACCCTGCCTGTATAATTGCATCAGACTCCCCCCCCCCCCCCCGTGTTTGTATTTTGGGTTGGTTTACACTTGCACATACTCAATTTTTCAGTTTCTCCCCCTTACCGTCATCTACCCTCACCTCCAGGACCCTGCCCCTTTTTAAAAAAAAAAAAAATAAATCGCTGACAAGTGTGAATCCCGTGAAGACTTTATTTTGTGGTGTGTGTATCCTGTACAGCAAGGTTGGTCCTTCGTAACAACGGATGAAATGGTTCCCTTTTTTAAAGCGCCCTCTCTCCCTCCGCCCCCAGCGGCCCCCACCCCCACCCCGCCCTCGGCATGTTTTGTATCAGCGATCATTCTGAACTGTACATAATTTATGTTGCGAGAGGCAAAGGGCAAGTTTTGGATTTTGCTTCTTACAAGTTTGTTTTTAAACGACAAATAAAAAAAGAACATTTTAAATACAAGCGGCTCCGTCCCGTGACCCTCGCCGGCAGTCAGATCCGAGAGAGAGGCCCGAGAGGACCCGAGGCTGAGGGGGGGGGCGGGGAGGACGGGGAGGACGCTCTGCTTAGGCCCAGGCCACCGCCGGAAGGGTGGGCTCCCCGCTCTCCGCCCTCAGCTTGCGTCTTTCGTGGCGTAAGCGGAAGTGGCGTCAAGACACCGGACATGGGGCGGGGCCTGCCCCCAGACCAATTTACTAAAGCGAAAGAGTCCGGTCGGTCCCCTCTCGCGATGGAGACGGTGAGGAGCTGAGGAGGGTGGCGGAGGGGGGGCGCTGTGGAGCCCGAGATCCTGTTCAGGAGCCGTGTGGGACAGGGCAGGGGCAAGCACTGACGTTAGAAGCCGGGTAGGACGGGGCAAGGGCTAGCAAGCAGCAGCCGAGTGTCTTCTGTTCATTAACTCTGCCTTTCTGCTCCAGTGCGGGTGCATCTCCTACGACCCGGCCACGCCCGTGGGCTGCGGCACCCCTAACCCAACAGGCAGTGTCACTCCGGGAGACTCATATAAGCCCATGTATGCATAGGCCTCTTTAACTCTTAAGCACTCCCAAGACCTTTCAAGAAGTTTGCATGGGGCATCAGGCTTTTTTGTGGTCGATTTTACTGGGCGAGGGGCCCCCGTTTGCAGGTAGCAGCTTCTGGACCGTGGCTGTGTGGCTGTGATTCCTGCAATTTCCTGTCAGGAAGATCATCTCAAAGACTATCCTGCAGCCACCGATGTTGCATCTCTTTCATATGACCAAGAATTGAGGCTTCCGCGAAGGAGAGCATCATTGTTAAGGGGCCGCTTTGTCCCTTAGACAAGTTTAAGTCTCCTCCTGCGCTGCGACTCTTAAGCGGGCGTGTTGACATAGTTCCTTCTTGGCAAACAAGCTTTAATCAATGGTGACAGGTCCTTTCACCTTCCCACAAATGCTGCAGATTGGCAGTTTTTAACCATGTATCCTGTATTAGGCATCTTGTTTTTAATCACCTGCTTCTGTATCTGTGTAAGGACTCCAGGTTCACTTTTCTTTGGATCAATTGTTACATGCCCAGAGTAAGTCTATGCTCTTTCTCTGCCTGCACAGTGGTGGTGTCTCTTAAGTTATAAAGAAGAAAACAGTCTAAACTGTTAAAGTGATCATGCAATTGCTCAGGCAAGGGAGTTATTTTCTATACAGTAAGGCATTTTGAGCAATAGTCTGATCCCATTAAATTCTAGATGATTTTTTTTTCTTACTTCTAAATGTATTATGGTTTACAAAGCTTTTTTTTTTTTTTTAAGTTATTTGTGGGGCTTGAACAGCACCACTTCTGGTTTTCTGGTGGTTTATTGGAGATAAGAGCCTTAGGGACTTTCCTGCCTGGGCTGGCTTAGAGCCACAATCCTCATATCTCAGCCTCCTGAGTAGCTAGGATTTCAGGCATGAGCCACCGGGGCCCAGTTTACAAAGCATTTTTATGTATAGATTTTCAAATGTAGCCCTCATGGCTTATGTATTGGATTGGTTATGTACTGGATTGGACTTTGGGGTTAGAAATTGTTTTCTAAAATAAGAAAGTGGGAAACGAGCAGGGAGAGAAAAGGAAAAAGGGAAGGAGGGAGGAAGGAAAAGAGAGGGAGGGGGAAGAGAGAGAAGATACAAAACTACAATTGAAAATCCATAGCTTAACTGGTTAAGCTAAGTGGGGATGAGAGCAAGCCAGTGTCTGCTGTTTTTAAGGTAGACTGTAATAAGTGCTCATAAAGATGCAAAAGACTGAAAAGCCAGAGGAGGGAGAAATTACAGTGCCCTAGAAGAAGGCATTGCAGATTGTGTAAGGGCATAGAAATTGGGTATACAGGGGAAATGGGGTGAAACTGTTCTTGATATTGCTAGAGCTTTTGATTTTGATCACAATATAGAAACAGGAAGATAAGACAAGGTCAAGTTGGCAGTGTTGCATACCATACTAAGTTTGAAGTTTATATATTTTGTCAGTTGTGGGGCTTGAACTTAGGGCCTGGGTGCTGTCCCTGGGCAATTTTTGCTCAAGGCTAGCACTTTACCACTTTGAGCCACACCACCACTTCCAGTTTTCTGGTGGTTAATTGGAGATAAGAGTCTTACAGACTTTCCTGCCTGGGCTGGCTGTGAACTACAATCCTGAATCTCAGCTTACTAAGTAGATAGGATTATAGGCATAAGACACCAGTGCCCGGCTTTGAACTTTTAAAATTTTGTAACAAGGAGATCCATGAGAGTGTGCTTTGGAAATATTCTTTGTTTTTGGTGGTGCCCTGGGGTTGATGACACAGGATCTTCTGTAGCCCAGGCTAACCTGGAAGTCACTATATACCTAATGTTGCCCTTGAACTCACTCTCCTATAATCCTGTTAGGATTATAGAAGTGGGCTACCTCATCTGGTTTGGAAATGTTTGGTTTTTGTTTTTGTTTTTTGGCTAGTCCTGGGGCTTGAACTCTGGGCCTGGGCACTGCCTCCAGCTTCTTTTAGCTCAAGGCTAGTGCTCTACCACTTGAGCCATAGTGCCAATTCCAACATTTTCTATTTATGTGGTACTAAGGAATCGAACCCAGGGTTTCATACGTGCTAGACAAGCACTCTACTACCACTAAGCCACATTCCCAGCCCTTTGGGAATTTTTTTTATAACAGCTGACCATAAGACTGAACTAGTTTGGCTGGGAATGTGGCTTAGTGGTAGAGTGGTTTCCTAGCATCCATGAAGCCCTGGGTTCTATTCTTCAATACCATATACACAGAAAAAGCTGGAAGTGGCACTATGGCTCAAGTAGTAGAGTGCTGGCCTTGAGCAAAAGAAGCTCAAAGACAGTGTCCAAGCCCTGAGTTCAAGCCCCAGGACTGGCAAAAAAAAAAAAAAGATTAACTACTTCAGAAAGTAGTGAGTTTTAGGATGCTAGAGATAAAAACCTTTTCTATACTGAAGATGCACTGGCCAGAGAACTTGGTAAAAGCACAAAAGGTGTTGAGGAGAGAGAGATTTGAACAGAGACAAGGTTAGGGAATGTAGCAGAAATCAGGAGTAAAAGCCTAAGTCAAGTCTACCTGTAGAAAGGAGAGAAATGTTCTGAGGCATTGCCAAATGGCAGTTTAGCACCTCATGCCCTACTTGTTCAGGAAAATAGAGGAATGGATTAAATTCTAGGGACCTAGGAAGAGAGCAATGAAAAAAAAATTGGAAGTGGAAATCACATTAAGAATGATATTATTGATTCAAAGCCATCCCAGGCAGAAAATCTAAGAGACTCCTATCTTGAGCAAAAAAGCCAGCAGCTCAAGTGGTAGAACACAAGCTGTAAGCAAAATGCCAAGCAACAGCCAAGGCCTTGAGTTAAGCCCTGTACTGGCGCATGCACGCACGCACGCACGCACACACACACCAAGTAACAAATCCTCTCTCCCTCTCTCTCTCTCTCTCTCTCTGTCTTTCTCTGTCTCTCTCTCTGTCTCTCTGTCTCTGTCTCTGTCTCTCTCTCTTTCTCTCTCTTTGTGTCAGTCGTGGGTCTTGAACTCTGGGCCTGAGCCCTGTCCCTCAGCTCTTCAGCTCAAGGCTAGTGCTCTGCCACTTGAGCCACAGCACTACTTCTGGTTTTTTGGTGGTTGATTGGAGATAAGAGTCTCATGGCCTTTCCTGCCCAGGCTGGCTTTGAACCGTGATCCTCAGATCTCAGACTCCTGAGTAGCTAGGATTACAGGTGTGAGCCACTGGCACCCAGCCAAATAATCTTTTCTGTATTGAAACTGTGTGTGTACCAGTCTTAGGGCTTGAACTCAGAGCCTGGCTACTGTCCTGGAGCATTTCTGGTTTTGTTTTTGTTTTCCCCTCAAAGCTAGTACTCTACCACTTGAGCCATAGCTCCACTTCTGGCTCATGGGCTTTCCTGCCCAGTCTGGATTCAAATCATGATCCTCAGATCTCAGCTTCCAGAGAGTAGCTAGAATTACAAGTGTTAGCCACTGATGCCTGGCTTTTTATTTTGAAGAGTCTCTGTGATGTCTGTTGTTGGCAAAAAACAAAAAATAAAACCAATTGGAAATGTAGATCAGGAGTTCAGAAGAAATTCATGTCAGTTCATATCTAGTCTATTTCTGTAATAATATTTAGTCTATACCTCTGTAATATTTATGCTTGAGTAATACAGAGGTGCCTTCTCAGTCCTATGTGTATTAAAAATAGAAAGGAGGGGTTGGAGGCATGGCTTAGGGCATAGAGTACCAGCCAATGAGCAAAAGCATTGGATTATGAGTTTGAGTCCTGATCTCCAACAAAAAAGAAAGAAAAATGGAAAGGAGTGGTTTTAATCTCTCCTTTTATGTGGATAGTCACATTTAGTTGTGTCTCTCCTATGTTGATATCTGTATGTCTTTCCCTCTTTCACTTAGTATTTAGTCTCTGTTCACATAAGTGTAACTCATTATAAGAAAATTTAAAAATAGAACAATTGTAAATATATATGATACTCCAGACTAGGTGGTACAGATACAAAGTATAAGGCAGTTATATGCTTCTGGGAGTTTACAATGTGTTTGAATAGATAAAAACAAAGTAACTATAGTTCAGTGCAGTATGTAAGTTTCATATGATGGAGGCTGTAATTTCTAGAAGTAGCTGCTTGTGTGCCTTTGTGTAGATCTTTGTCAGACTTGTATATCATGTATGTGTATTTACCGTAGGACAGCGCTCTCTCTCATTTTAAGTCATGAGCCTCTTGTTCCGATAGCCTTGCCAAAAATACCACGTCAAGCTCATAGTCTTAAAGCAACCAAGAGAGAAGAGAGGGAGATTATCTCCTCTCCCAGCAACTCACACACTGGGCAAAGGAGGTTTAGGGCTGTCCCACCGACTTGACCCAATTTGCTAGCCAACTTCCTAGGCTCAAGCCAAGGCCTTTAATTCAATATTATTACGGAAGATACATAATCTGTTTAAGGATATTACCCAGAAAAAGTGGAGCTAGAATGACTGATGCCAGTGGATGAAAAAGAAGTTCCAGGATCATTCCTGGCTTTCTAGATAGCAATGAAATTTTCAAATATTTCCACCGAAGGAAACCCAAAGAGGGTTCTGATGGTTTGTCTGTGCTCAAAGCACCCTTTAATCCTCAATTGTCTTGAGAAAGAAAAGTTGAAAACCTAACATCTCCTTTGACTCACAAGAGTGTGGAAAGGACTCAAGTCACTGGTTTCAGATCATGTTCCTCGTTTATTCCTCATTCATTCAAGCTTTGATTGACTGATAGTCAGCTACTGGGATCTTCCTAGATGTAGCCCTCTCTCAATGATAAGGACTAGAGTAGGTCCATGATTCTAGTACTACCATGCCTGTGTTTGGAGAAAAGAATTTCTGCAATCTGTGTGGTGTTTTGTTTTGTTTTGTAAACAGAGTCTTTCTTGTTTTGCACCCCAAGCTTGCCTCAAACTCACTATGTAGTCCATGTTTCAGATTTTAAAGCCTTCTATCTTAGCCTTCTTAGTCTTGGATTACAGGTATACATCACTGTACCAGCTACATCAATGTTTAAATAAAGGAAATCTGCAAGAATCTCTTTTTCTTTTCTTTCTTTTTCTTTTTATTTCCAGTCCTGAGGCTTGAACTCAGGGCCTGGGCACTGTCCCTGAGCTTCTTTTGCTCAAGGCTAGCACTCTTTCACTTGAGCCACTTCTGGCTTTTTCTGTTTATATGGGTACTGAGGAATTGAACTCAGAGCTTCATGCATGCTAGGCAAGCACTCTGCCACTAAGCCACATTCCCAACCCATCTGCAAGAATCTTACAGGATCAGCCCTAAACTCATAGCTTTTATTTTATTTCTTTATTTATTTTGCCTAGGGCTTGCACTGAGGGCTGGGCACTGTCCCTGAGCTGCTTTTGCCCAACGCTAGCACTTGAGCCACATCATTACTTCCGGCCTTTTCTGTTTATGTGGTACTGAGGAATCAAACCCAGGGCTTCATACATGCTAAGCAAGCACTCTACCACTAAGCCACATTCCTAGGCCAGCTTTTATTTTATTTATACTGCTGGAACTTGAGCCCAGGACCTTATGCATGTTAGTCAAGCAGTGTATTATTGCACTACATCCCCAACCCTAGTCTTAGCTTTTAAGACTTAATGTTTCATTAGGCAGTATGGTATATAAGAACCAGAGCTATACCAGCATGTGACTTTGGGTAGGTTGTTTTTTAACTCTTACAGTTTCCTACTCCAAAAATAGGCTAATGATAATATTTACCTTGGGGTTGTTATGAAGTGTAAATGAGATAATATTTTTGAAGGACCTTACAATGCTTTCAAGAGTGTCATTAGTTCACCAGCCATTTTTCTCATGTTGCTAGACTAAAATGAATAGAGCCTGAATGTATTTTTTTTCTTACCCTTCCAGATCACTTCAGATAGCTCCACAGCTCTGGAAAATGAGAATCTTCAAGGTAAGTGACATTTGAGATAAACTGGAAAGAAAACTGAGCATGAAAACCACAGCCTGACCCTAACATGTCTTCAGCAATGCTTTTGAATCTCTTTTGAATCCCCTGAGAACAATCAAGGTTGGGCCAGATACTGTGTCAAACTACAGAAAGCACGAATAGTAGTTTAGCAAAATCACCCAGGAATCAATCTTGGGCAACCCAGGAATCAATCTTAGGCACAGTGAAGGTGATTTCTATCTGCAATCATTAAATCATTCAAGAAAAACTTCTGAGGTACAGGGAAAACTTGCACTGGCCAACTCCGGGCCAACTAACCATATTATCTCCAGCATTTTATTACACAGCAGGCTCACCAAAGCCATTTGGTGTATGCCAGAAATTATAGAAACTCCTTAAAACTTTTAAGACTCATCTGGAAATAGCACTAACTCTCTAGAATCTAGAGAAGACAATTCTAGCACCTACCCAAATACCTATTTAAAAGTTGTAATAGTCCAATCCTCAGTCATCTGAAAAGAAGCAGAATTGACAGGCATCTTTGGTAAATCGTGCCCAGCAATACTGCTAAGTCTTTCTAGGATGGCATTAGGGGTACACATTTTCTCTGAATATTAAAATAGGGGCTGAGTACAAGAGGCAGTTTAATGTCATATCCTCGTAATGTGTCTTAGGAAATACTAGGGGTGTATGAGGTCTTGGTCAGATTTTTACAGTTTTGAGGGGCATAGTGGGGCCCACCTGTAATCCTAGAACTCAGGAGGCTGAGATAAGAAGATCCAAAGCTTGAGAACAGCCTAGACTGCATAACAAGACTCTTCTTTAAAAAAAAAAAAAGGAGGGGCTGGGAAGGTGGCTCAGTAGTAGAGTGCTTGCCTCACATGCATGAGGCCCTGGGTTCAATTCCTCAGCACCACATAAACAGAAAAGGACAGAAGTGGCACTGTGGCTCAAGTGGTAGAGAGCTAGCCTTGAGCTGAAGAGCTCAGGGACAGCACCTAGGCCTAGACCGACCCAAAAAAAAAAAAAAAAGGAAAATTCAAAAATTTGTTTTCATCTTACCCAAACAATTAATTTACTAATATTTTGCATTACTCAGATGGCTTCATAACTGAGTTCAGCCACCTGATGCTGTGCCTATTTTGTTCACATTTGCATTGACACCAAGCAGGAGTTAGAAATTCAATTATTTACATGGACCAAACAGTGAACTAAATTTTTCAGTGGCAACCTGTAGATCTGGCTTGAAAGGAAGCAGCGGCCATCTATAGTTAGTCAATTAAGACTTTTTTTTTTGCCAGATGTTCTGCTTTTTAAAAAGAAACTGCAAAGTTGGCTTTGTATATGAATCTGAAGATTATTAAAATTTGGCAACTGATTTAAAATTTTTATTTTTGGTGGTATTGGGGATTTAACACTTTTTTGGTGGTGGTGGTAATACTAGAACTTAAAGTTGGTGAAATTTTGGTTTCATGCTTGCTTACCCAGCTGGTGCTCAGCTGGTGCTCTACCGGTTGAGCCATTCTTTAGACCTAATTTTTGCTGGTGGTTTTGGGGATGAAGTCTAAAATTTTTCTTTTAAGCTGGCCCATCTGTGTTGGTGACTTTTGTGGTAGAATCTCTCTTTTTGCTGGGTGGACCTGGACTGAGATCTCCTGAGTATGCCTTCCACTGTAGAAAGGACAATAGACCAACACCACCACATCCAACTTTTTTCTGTTGAGGTGAGGTCTTGCTAGCTTTTTTGCTAGACTGGCTTCAAATCTTGAGATGGATTATTTTAGCCCTCCCAAGTAGTTAGGCTTACAGGTGTGAGCCACCACACCCCCAGCTTGAACAAAGTTTCTTTTCTTTCTTTCTTTTTTTGTTGTTGTTGATCATGGGGCTTGAGCTCTGGGCCTGGGCACTGTCCCTGAGCTCTTCAGCTCAAGGAAAGCGCTCTACCATCTGAGCCACAGCGCCACTTCTGGTTTTCTGGTGTCTAATTGGAGATAAGAGTCTCACAGACTTTCCTGTCTGGGCTGGCTTTGAACCACGATCCTCAGATCTCAGCCTCCTGATTAGCTAGGATTACAGGCCTGAGCCACTGGCGCCCAGCTGAACAAATTATTTTTAAAACACCAGAAAATCCAGATTCAGTATGTGTGTAGGCCTGCAGCCTAAAATGATTACTATTTAATTTTCAATGTAGTATATATTCACCTGATATATAAAAATATGTCTTGTGAGTTCTCATCTTTGCAAAAACCATGGAAAGCTTCACTTAAAGATTGACAGAGTAAGCTAGGCACTGGTGGCTCATACCTATAATTCTAGTTACTCAGATTTCTAGTTGAGATCTGAGGATCGAGATTCAATGCCAGCCTGAGCAGTAAAATCTGCGAAACTTATCTCCAATTAACTAATAACAGCTGGAAGTAGAGCTGTGGCTCAGGTGGTAGAGCAGTAGCTTTGAGGGAAAAAAAATGCTGAGGGTTAACAGCCAGGCCAAGTTCAAGCCTCAGAATTGGTATGTGCACATGCTCTCTCTCTCTTTCTCTTTCTCTCTCTCTCTCTCTCTCTCTCTCTCTCTCTCTCTCTCTCTCTCTCTCTCTTTCAAAAGGTGGAAGGGGAGCTGTGACTTAAGTACTAGCCTGGAGCAGAAAAACTCAAGGACAGCACCCAGGTCCTGAGTTCAAGCCCCAGGACCTGTACAAAGTAAATAAGATGGCAGGGCAGGGAAAGTGTCTCAGTGGTAGAGTGCTTGCCTTGCATGCCTGAAGCCCTGGGTTTGATTCCTCAGCACCGCATAAGCAGAAAAAAAGCTGGAAGTGGCACTGTGGCCAACAGCCCAGAGTTCAAGCCCCATGACCGACAAAAAATATAAATAAATAAATAAATAAATAGAAATCCACTCTTGTTTCTTCAGGAAATCACAATACAGGAATTCAGGGGAAAAAAGCTAAGCTTGAGTATCTCACACCTATAATCCTAGCTACTAGAGACTGAGATCTGAAGATTGTGGTTCAAAGCCTGTTGAGGCAGAAAAGTCCTCAAGAGATTCTTATCTCCAGTTAACCACCCAAAAACCAGAAGTGGAGCTGTAGCCTTGAGCAAAAGAGCTCAGGGGCAGTACCCAGGCCCTGTGTTCAAGCCCCAAGACCAAAAAAAAAGTTAAAAAAAAAAAGAATAAAGAGAACAGGAAAGCAGATCATCACAGTGAACTTTGGAAGCTGGAAAGCAAATGAAGGGTGTTGAATGACTTAGCTAATCTGAGCAAATTGAATTATAACTAGCAGTAAGAAAGACAAGAAAAATTGAAAATCTAAGAAACAAATATCCAAGACTCCCTACCTGCACTGAATACCTGTAACACTCCTCCCCATACTCATACAATCTGGGGTTCTAGAGAGGGACTCAGGTACAGCTGAGGGCTGAGCCACTTGACTGAAAGCACTAGCCTGGAGTGAACTCCACTGGTTGCTGAGCCTTCAGCCTTCTTCCCCTTATTCAGCTTTGAGAATTCTGCAGAAAAGACTTCACCCTTCAAGGTCAAAATTGAATAGTCTCTCCAGAATCCCCTTGTGGGAAAAGCCCTAAAAATGTAAGTATTGAACATTCCCTCTCTAAACGCTCATAGCCAGCAAGGCCTCCTTAGACACTTGCAGCTTCCAATCAGCTTTCAAGCCTGCCCTTACAAGACATAACAAACCAAGCAACAACAACAACAAGGGTATGATCTGGAACCTCCTTTAAACCAACAGTTATCAAACATGTACAGAAAGTGAGAAAAAAGTCTAAACGATCACCAGCTCACATGTACCAAGAGAAAAACAAAACCTCCCAAAAGAATTGCAACTGGGGGTAAGGGTGGGGAAGTCACTGCATAGAGAAGAAAACTTTAATCGTAACATTATTATATATTTAGATTAAAAGAACATATTTCTGCCAGGAAATATGAATATATAAGTATCTTTTAAAGGCATTTTCAAGAGAACAAAAAGGAGCAGGGCCTCCAGGGTTGGCATAGCTATGGTGGCTTGTGTGCTTTCCACCTGTGTTCACTGCCTGCCCAAAGCTTGGAAGTTTATGTTACTGCTGCTGCTGGTCCCCATCCTCTGCTGGCCCAGGCCCTGGCTGCTTGTGATTGCCCTATGCTGAGCAGAAACTTGGAAGAGGGCCTGGACAATATATCCAGTCTTGGCACTTGCACAGGTTCCACAGAGCTACCCAGTTGTGCAGCTAGAACAGCAGCAATTTTGCCCCATTAACATTAGAGGGGATCAAGAACCAAATTTTGTGCATCTTAAAATCTTGACAAGATGGACACAAAAAAGATTTTAGTAAATTCCCATTTTATGAAGATCTGGGCTTAGGCAGTTTAGACCAAGTGGAGAATATGGGCAGGGAAGATGAATTTGTATTTGAAAGTCCTAATCTTGAAAAGAAGTTTATGTATCCACAAGAAATTATGGATTACATTGTGGATAAGAAGGATGTAAATGAATAAAATATTAGAACCCTCTTCCTCATAGAGAAGGCTCAGATAATACCAGTGAGTGTCTGGAAATTAGAACACAGTTTGACCAAAGTAATATGACAGCCACTGCTGGATCAATACTAAAATTGTCCCAAGTAGTTTGCTCTTTGGGAATAAATCTATAAATCAAAGGGAAGGGAGGGAGTAAGGAAGAAACGAAGGAAGGCATGGAGGAAAAAGGAGCTCTTGGAATTAAATACACAATCATAGCAAGAACTCTACAAACCCAAATAAGAGATTTGGCAAGTCAAAAAAAAAAAAAACAAACCTCTCAGCAGAATTGGACATCAAAGAATCAGAAAATAGGGGACAAAGATTTTTTGTGTGGAGAGGAGGGCACTGAGTTAGAGATCAAACCCAAGGACTTTGAGTCCAGGCAAGCATTCTATCACTGAGCTACATCCCTAACACAGAAAATATTTTAAAATAACAAGCTACAGAATCAAAACAAAAACCCAGTCTTGAAAGGATCAGTCTAGGAGGTCCAGTATGTAAGTAATAGGGGTTACAGAGAGAAAAATAGCACCAGAGAGAAGGAAATAATCAGTACAAAACTTCAAGGACATTTTCTGGAACTAAAAGACATTCATTTTCATATGAAATAACTTGCTGAACATCCAACTCAGAAGATGAAACTGACCTATCCAAAGCACAATCATCATGAGATTTCAGAATACTGGAAAAAAGAAAGACCTTTTGAAATTCCAGAGGGGAAAAAACCGAGTCACATACAAAGAATTAGAATTGCCTAAGACAACAGTACCAGCAACTAGCTTAATAGAGTAATGCCTTAAACATTCTGTAGGAAAATACCCAATTTAGAATTATCTATCCACTCCAATTATAAATCTGGTGTAGAATATAGGCTACATGGTCTCCAAAGATTTATCTCACATAAATCTTTTCTCAGGAAGCTACTAGAAAATAAACTTCACCAGAACAAGAGAGTGATCAAAAAAGATGAAAGAGCCAAGCCAGTGGCTCACGCCTGTCATCCTAGCTACTCAGGAGGCTGAGATCTGAGGATCGAGGCTCAAAGCCAGCCCAGGCCAGAAAGTCCATGAAACTCTTATTTCCAATTAATCACCAGAAACGTGGAAGTGGTGCTGTAGCTCAACTGGTAGAGCACTACCCTTGAGCTAAAGAGCTGAGGGACAGTGCCCAGGCCCAGAGTTCAAGCCCCATGACTGACAAAAAAAAAAGATGAAAGTAGAAGGCACAGTAACAATACAGAAGAGCGTTGGGAGCAGCCCTCTAGGTCATGAAGAAAGATTCTAGGATGGCAGTGGTGTACACAGGCAAACCAGCCTAGGTCTGAGCAGACCAGAAGGCTCTAGAGAGACATTATTTTATTTTATTTTTTTGAGCAGGAAAGCTCAGAGACAATTCATAGACCCTGAGTTCAAGCCCCAGGACCAGCACACAAAAAAACTCAACTTTTTGCCTGAGCTAGTTCAAACTTGAGATCCTCCTATTTCCACTTCTGTTTTTTTGTTTTTTGTTTTTTGGTTATTTGTGGGGCTTGAACTCTGGGCTTGGGTGATGTCCCTGCGCTCTTCAGCTCAAGGTGAGCGCTCTACCACTTGAGCTACAGCACCACTTCCGGTTTTCTAGTGGTTTATTGGAGATTAGAGTCTCACGGACTTTCCTTCCCGGGCTGGCTTTGAACTGTGATCCTCAGATCTCAGCCTCCTGAGTAGCTAGGATTACTGATGTGATCCACTGGCGCCCGGCTTCATTTAATTCTTACAACAAATCTATAGGGTAAGTACTCTCTCAACATGATGGCAAAAGCCCTATTACCCCAACCATATGGGGAAGACTAAACTAGCAGACTGGTCCCAGTAAAGCCTGGGCAGGGAGCAAGACCACATTTAAAAAATAACCAATGCAGAAAAGAGCTACAGGTGTGGCTTAGAAGTAGACCAGTACCAGTACCAGTGGTACATGCCTATAATCTTAGCTACTCAGGAGACTGAGATCAGGAGGCTTGTGGTTCAAAGGCAGCCTAGGAAGAAAAGGCTTCAAGTCTCTCACAAATAAGTATCTAAAAGCCAAGCTGGAGGCATGGCTTATGTGATAGAACATCAGCTAAACTTGCAAGCCAACAAAGTGAGAGTTCCTGAGTTTTTAGATCCTGGTACTAGCAAGAAAATAAAAAAAGATGGGCCTGGGAAGGTGGCTCAGTGGTAGAGTGCCCTGGGTTCGATTCCTCAGCACCACATAAGCAGAAAAAGCTGGAAGTGGGGCTGAGGCTCAAGTGGTAGTGCGCTAGTCTACAGCTGAAGAGCTGAGGGACAGCGCCCAGGCCCAGAGTTCAGGCTCCATGACCAAAAAATAAAAAAGAATAAAAATCATAGAAATAGAGGTGTGCCAGGCTTTCATTTATATAGAGTGAGTAGAATGACTTCTGACTCAGAGTGACCACAGAACAGACTCTCAGGCTATTTGGGCTAGGTTGGTTGGATACCTAGTGTTGAAAAGTGGCCCAATTTGAACTCTGAGTTTCCCATCTACAGGTCTTAGAAGAATTTTCAGAATTTTACTTGGTATTTCACTTAGTGGAGAAAGGGATTTTTCCAGGTTTTGTGGGAATAAAACAGCATATTTTTTAAATGTCAATATTAAACAGTTTCTTTTTCTGTCTTTTGATTGGACTTTGCTGTATGCAAGAAAGCAGCTAACTTTCTCACCCTATTCAGAGACCCCAGAATCCAACAACAGTGTGTACACCTCCTTCATGAAGTCTCACCGCTGCTATGACTTGATTCCTACAAGCTCCAAGCTGGTTGTATTTGATACTTCCCTGCAGGTGGGTGGCTTCTTCTTTTTCCTTCCCCCTTCAATGGAACCTCTCAGCCCATCTCATCCCCATGGGTAATATAGGGTTAGTCTTATGTTTTTCCTCTCTTTCTTATAGCCCATCCCCCTGTTGGCGTGTCCCTTTATGATGATTACTTTCTTGACTACAGGTGAAGAAAGCTTTCTTTGCTTTGGTAACTAATGGTGTACGTGCTGCTCCTTTGTGGGATAGTAAGAAGCAAAGTTTTGTGGGTAAGCAGTTTCTGGAACACACTATTAGTGGCTTCTTGTGCTGGGAAGGGAGAGAAGCTTTGCGTAGTGCTGAGGGCTCTTGTCTTGATGTCTAGGCATGCTGACTATCACTGATTTCATCAATATCCTGCACCGCTACTATAAGTCAGCCTTGGTAAGGAATAACAAGACCAAAACCAGTTTCTTTGCCTTTCTGTTCCTCATTTGTATTTTTTTTTTCCTCCAAGCAAGCTACAAGACTTAGATTCTGTTGCTTCTAATTCCAGGTACAGATCTATGAGCTAGAAGAACACAAGATAGAAACTTGGAGAGGTACGTAGAAAACTGGGAGTTTAAAAAGTATGAAGGGAGCTGGGTGCCAGTGGCTCACGCCTATAATCCTAGCTCCTCAGGAGGCTGAGATCTGAGGATTGCGGTTTGAAGCCAGCCTGGGCAAGAAAGTTGGTGAGACTCTTATCTCCAATAAAGTACTTGGAAAAAGCCAGAAGTGATGCTGTGGCCTAGTGGTAGAATGCTACTCTTAAGCACAAAGAGGCTCAGGGACAGTGTCTAGGTCCTGAGTCCAAGCCATAGGATTGGGGGAAAAAAAAAAAAGCTGGGGGTGGGGGTGGGGATAGAGGGTTTCTGGTTTCATGTGAAGTTTATATTTTGTGTACTGTCCCTTTTCCCTTCAGAGGTGTACCTTCAGGACTCCTTTAAGCCACTTGTCTGCATTTCTCCTAATGCCAGGTAAGTTCCACTATCCACTTGCTATCCATGTATCCAAAAAAGGGAATAGCTGTGCCAACCACATAGCTAAAGTCCTAAGTACCCAAAGATCCAAGGAAGGGTCAGGGGAGAGAAAAGATAACACACACACACACACACACACACACACACACACACACACACACACACACACACACACACACACACACACACACACACACACACACACACACACACACACACACACACACACACACACACACACACACACACACACGTTTTAAGTCTGTTCTGAACACTACCTCCTGAGAGAGAAAAGGTATACTCTACACACACACACACACACACACACACACACGTGTTTTAAGTCTGTTCTGAACACTACCTCCTGAGAGAGAAAAGGTACTCTCTCCCAACACACACACACACACGTTTTAAGTCTGTTTTGAACACTACCTCCTCCTCTAACCATGACATTTTCTGGTCTATAAAGAAACTCTAAGGAGCTATATAACTCAGTTTTAGTACTTAACCATCGTCCTTCACCTTCTCACAGCTTGTTTGATGCTGTGTCTTCATTAATTCGAAACAAGATCCATAGGCTGCCAGTTATTGACCCAGAATCAGGCAACACCTTGTACATCCTTACTCATAAACGCATCCTCAAGTTCCTCAAATTGTTTGTAAGTATTCCTCAACACAGTTCTTACTTCTTATGTACTAGGATGGAGAGGTATCCATGGGTGGATCATGGAGCCTTAAAAGTAAGCTGGTGGTTCTTTCCTCAGATCACTGAGTTCCCCAAGCCAGAGTTCATGTCTAAGTCCCTGGAAGAGCTACAGATTGGCACCTATGCCAATATTGCTATGGTCCGTACTACCACCCCTGTCTATGTGGCTCTAGGCATCTTTGTACAACACCGTGTCTCAGCCTTGCCAGTGGTGGATGAGAAAGGTGAGAGACTGGGGAAAAAAAATGAGAGGGTTCCAGGGTCAGGAGGCCCTGGGAGGAGCCTTTGTCCTCTCTGCTCAGCCTGGAGGGTGATTCTTTGGGTAGGGGGAGCATTGGATGCTAGATCCTCCTTACTGAGCTGCCTCTGTCCCCCCTAGGACGTGTGGTGGACATCTACTCCAAGTTTGATGTTATCGTGAGTGTGGAAGGGCTGGGAGGAAGGGAAGAGGAGGGGGTATTGAATATAGAATGAGAGGAGGAAAGCCTCCTCTCTAACCTGCCAGTGTTGGAGACTTCCATACTGTCAGATTCTATTTGCAGAGGAATTGAATGAGTTGAGTATGGCTGTGGGCATGGCTGACAGTTGCCCTCAGTCCCTCTAGTGAGGTTGAGGAGGTCCAGGGTTTGGGGGCTGGATCCCTTTCTTCCCTGCAAGCCCTTCCTCTCTTTCTCTCTTCAGAATCTGGCGGCAGAAAAAACTTACAATAACCTAGATGTGTCTGTCACCAAAGCCCTGCAACATCGATCCCACTACTTTGAGGGTGTTCTCAAGTGCTACTTGCATGAGACTCTGGAGACCATCATCAACCGGCTCGTGGAAGCTGAGGTAGGGAGGTCAGCCACCATAAAGGAGCCAGGGGTGGGGCGGGGAGCCTTGAGATTGGGTTTTGGCAAAGAGGGTAGGGGCTGAGGGGCTTTCCCCAGCAAGGCTGGCTGGCACTCAGTATTCCTTCTTGTTGCTCTGTGCCAGGTTCACCGTCTGGTAGTGGTGGATGAGAATGATGTGGTCAAGGGAATAGTGTCACTGTCAGACATCCTGCAGGCCCTGGTGCTCACAGGTGGAGAGAAGAAACCCTGAGCTGGGGAAGGGGTTGGGCAGTCTCAGGGAGATGCCCCCCTATTCCCGTTGCCTGCTTGAAGCTCTGGGAAGCAGATGAAACCTTGGGAGAATGGACTGTGTTTTCTGCTCAGGAGACCCTACCTGCTATCTGAGATCTAGGAGGCATCGGGGGAAGGAGGAGAAAGGCTTCTTAGCTGCCTTTACCCTCACACATTCATACTTGGCATAAACTTTCAGCCTCCCCAGTCCTTGCCCCTGTCCCCTTAGACGCAGACCCCTTTGAGGGTGAACCATGGACTCTGTGCCCTTCAGGCAGATTCTGATCTCTAAGAGATCCCTGGGCCTCACCCTGCCTTCGCCTCTGTCTCTGCCCTGACTCTACCTTAAGATAACAGCACAGCAAAAGCCTTCATCAGGATGTTTTCATTCATCCTGTTTCATGATATATGGAGGAGGCTGGGTCCATTTCGTGGCATTGCTTCCCATGATTTGAGTGGGGAGGATGATGGGGAGGGAGGCCTTTGGGTTCTGTGCTGTATGAATATGCAGGGAAGTAGTTAGGTGGCGGAGGAGGCAGAGTGGTTAGCCGAAGTTATTGCTTTTCATGACAGATCTAATTAAATGACAAGATTCTCATCATGGTGTTGCAGTGCTTGATTTTTACCGTTGTTAGACACTATTTCTCCAACCCTCCTACTTCATAGGGCTTTCTCAACTCAGTAACAATTTGTAATTACACACACACACAAAACTATGTCCCAGTTATTATTCTCAGTATTATATCTATACAGATAACCCTTTATCTAAAATTCTTGAGAGCATACATGTTTCAGATTTTAGAGAATTTCAGTTTCTGTTTTTGTTTTTTTTTTTTAGAATTTCAGTTTTCTTGATGAGGGATTGCTTAGACCATGTGAACTCATTTAGAGTTCCCCCCCCCCTTTTTCTTTGCTTTTCTTTCCTTTTTTTTTTTTTTTTTTTTTAATTTTTGGTCAGTCATGGCCCTGGGCGCTGTCCCTCAGCTCTTTAGCTCAAGGTTAGCACCTACCACTTGAGCCACAGCACCACTTGCAGCTTTTTCTGTATATGTGGTGCTGAGGAATCAAACCCAGGACCTCATGCATGCAAGGCAAGCGCTCTACCACTGAGTCACCTTCCCAGCCCCTCTCTCTCCTTTTTCTTTTTCTTCCCCCCCTTTTTTTTTTTTTTTAACCAGTCCTGGAGTTGAACTCAGGACAGGGTGCTGTCCCTGAGCTTTCATAAGGATAGTGTTCTACCACTTGAGCCACAGCTCTACTTCCAGCTTTTTGGTAGTTAATTGGAGATAAAGTTCTTACAGACTTTCCTGCCTGGGCTAGCTTTGAACCGTGATCCTCAGATCTCAGTGTAACTAGGATTAACAGGTATGAGCCACCAGTGCTTCATTTAGTCTTTTTTTTTTTTTTTTTGGTCCAGTTGTGGGGCCTGAACTCTGGGCCTGGGCGCTGTCCCTCAGCTCTTCAGCTCAAGGCTAGCGCTCTACCACTTGAGCCACAGTGCCACTTCCGGCTTTTTTTTCTGCTTATGTGGTGCTGAGGAATCGAACCCAGGGCCTCATGCATGAAAGGCAAGCGCTCTACCACTAAGCCAACTTCCCAGCCCTGCTTCATTTAGTCTTAAGACTTGATACTAGCCGGGTGCTGGTGGCTCACATCTGTAATCCTAGCTACTCAGGAGGCTGAGATCTGAGGATCATGGTTCAAAGCCAGCCGGGACAGGAAAGTCTGTGGGACTCTTATCTCTAGTAAACCACCAGAAAACCACAAGTGGCACTATGGCTCAAGTGGTAGAGCACTACCCTTGAGCTGAAAAGCTGAGGGACAGTGCCCAGGCCCAGAGCTCAAGCCCCACAAGTGACAAAAAAAAAAAAAAAGACTTGGTACTATTACTACTATTCTAGTTTAAACAGATCACTCAGCTTGTAAAACTTAAAACACAAATTTGAAACCCAAGTGGTCTGGCTCCATCATTAAGTATACTTATACCTCTTTGATCTGTACTCTATTTCCTGTAGCTCCCTGCATTATTTCACTTTCTCCTCTGCCTAGACCATAGCTGGGGCCCATGGCAAATCCCACAGAGATCTCCAGGGAATAGACAAGTGTCTTCAAGTGTCTTCTTTAGGCAGAGAAACCAGCCAGTATCATCAGCTTTCCTGACTGAAGATTGGGCTGTGATTGGATTTGGCTAAACTGTCTCTTTGAATCTATAAATCTCTTGCCATTCTTTCAATGTAAGAAAGAGTTAAAAAACTGGATGTCAGTGGCTCACACCTATAATCCAGGAGTCTGAGAGGATTGCAGTTCAAAGCCAGTCTGGGCAGGAAAGTCTGTGAGACTCTTATCTTCAATAAACCACCAGAAAACTGGAAGTGGCGCAGTGGCTTAAGTGGTAGAGCACAAGCCTTGAACTGAACAGCTAAGGGACAATGCCCAGGCCCAAAGTTCAAGCCCCACGACCGACAAACAAAAAAAAAAAGAATGAGCTGGGCGCCTGTGGTTCATGCCTGTTATCCTAGCTACTCAGTAGGCTAAGATCTGAGGACCATGGTTCAAAGCCAGCCTGGGCAAGAAAGTCCATGAGACTCTTATCTCCAATTAACCACCAGAAAACTGGAAGTGGTGCTGTGGCTCAAGTGGTAGAGTGCTAGCCTTGAGCTGAAGAGCTCAGGGACAGTGAGTGTCCAGGCCCAGAGTTCAAGGCCCATGACCCTCCCCCCCCCCCAATAAAAAAAGAATGAGTTAAGAGTAGGGCTAGAAGAAAAAGCCAGAAAGTGGCACTGTGGCTCAAGTGGTAGAGCACTAGCTTTGAGCTGAAGAGCTGAGAGACAGTGCCCAGGCCCAGAGTTCAGGCCCCAACAAAGAAAAAAAAAGAGTAGGGCTAGAATAGGGGAACAACAGAATATGACCTATGACCACCCCATCACATCCGTTCCCAGTGCTGGAACTATGTGACAGAAAACTAGTCAGCTCCAATCACAAGCATTGGCAGACTGTGGGATATGAGCCAAATCCTGGATACCATTTCCCTACTGCCTTGTAGGCATGATAGAATTTTCTTTTCCTTCCTTCCTTCCTTCCTTCCTTCCTTCCTTCCTTCCTTCCTTCCTTCCTTCCTTCCTTTCCCTTCCTTCCTTCCTTCCTTCCTTCCTTCCTTCCTTCCTTTCTTCCTTTCTTCCTTTCTTCCTTTCTTTCTTTCTTTCTTTCTTTCTTTCTTTCTTTCTTTCTTTCCCTTTCTTCTCCCTCCTTCCTTCCTACAGGACATCTTGTAAACTAGACTGGCCTTAAATTCATAATCTTCCTGAGCCTCCTCCCCAGTGCTAGATTTACAGTCATAAGCCACCATAAGCCGCCATGGCTTTACCATCCTCGCTATCCTGATTCTTTCAAACCATACTTTGATAGTGTGCACCTGTCATCCTAGCACTCAGGAGATCAAGGCAGGTAGATCACAAGTTTGAGGACAGTCTGGGCTACAGAGCAAGACCCCCCAAACAAGAAAAACATGGCTTCCTCACCTCCTCACAGCTCTCACAGCACATTCCCAAACTTGGGGGAGGAAGGCTGCCAAGTTATTAGAGCTAAAATATGTTTGTATGTGTGGGAATGGGTATATGGTGGAAAGGACAGATGCCTCCTTACATCACATTCCTTCATCAAGGAGGTAGGGAGGAGGCAAGGACTTTATAAAGCCATAGGCCTTTAGTGAGACCCAGGGTGGAAGGAAGCGCCTGCAATTAGAGCCATCGGTACAGCTGGTAGGTGCAATGTGTGCAGTTGAAGGGGTGGGGGAATGGGAAAGGGGACGTTCTCTTTATGTTTTGTGTGTGCTGATCCTAGGCTTGAACTCATAACCTGAGTGCTATCCCTGAGTTTGTTTTTTTTTTTTTTCCTTAAGGCTGTCTGAGCGAGCCACATTCTCCACTTCTGACTTTTAGGAAATTAATTAATTAGTTAATTGGAAATAAGAGTCTGATGGACTTTCCTGCAAGGCTAACTTTGAATCATGATCCTCAAATCTCAGCCTCCTGAAGAGCTGGGATTACAGGCATGAGGCACCAGAACCCTGTTTTGGGTTCTCTTTAAAACTTCATGTTAGGGAACAGAAAGCCCTGGGTTTTGTTATGCAGTTTCTCAGTCAGTAACGCTCATCTCTGGCTCTCCACAACAACCCTTCTGGTCCTCATCCCCCTAAAAGGTACTTTTGTGGGCAACAAACTGGGGTCTCTTGCTTCTCTCATTCCCCACCACCACCTGGAAAACATAGACCACCATTCTCCATCTAAGGATGGGGCTGAGAGAAGGGCAGTCTCACAAGCTTCTGTTTTTACCTGTTCCTTTCAGGAAAGGCAAATTGTCCCTTCTTGCTAAGGAACCATTGCCACACACACACATGCTTCCCTCCCTGCCCCCCTCCCCTCCAGTGGAGCTGCTGCTGCCATGGTTGCCAGGCATGGTTGCTAAGTCTCTGCATGGAAGGGTTGGCGTGGGCTGTGCTGCCACTAACATTACCATGGTGAATCAGGGGACACCTGGTAGAGGCTTAGGGGGAGGGATCATGTGGGTGTAAGCAACAACCCCCTTGTCCAGAATGAGCCCAAAAGGTGAGCTCTGCCTCAGACAAGCACTAAATAAGTGAACTAGCACTTTGAGGTGGGGGAGGAGGGTTGCAGGGGGACGCTATGCTAGGAGTGACTACTTTTATTTCAGTTGCTAGTGGATTCCGTTTGCCAAGGGAGCATAACATCTCCCTCCCTGCCCCCCATAAGCATAAGCACCCTAGTTCTCCATAAGACTGGGCAGAGTTGTATAGGCACAGATCAGAACCCCCAAATTCTGGCTTCTGTATTGGGAGAGAAAGCCTGCTGTTGAGGGGTAAGGGGGTTCCATGGGTTCCCAAGGACAAATATTTTGGAAAGGCAGTGGTGGAGTAGCTTCAGTAGCCAAGACAGACATCCTGCGCTATATCCGCTATATCAGCAGCTCTGAGCTGCAGCACTGAACAGAAGTGTTAAGAATGTTTTTGAGATGGGGGAGGGGGCAACTCGCCCCCAAAGTGGCACAAAAGCTTCCTGAAAGCCACCTCCTCCTCTCTACTGCTTGGGAGCTGGTTACTCATCTCATCTCTGCACCCAAATGCCACTGCCGCTAAAAATAGTCCCCATCAGCCAGCCCCTCCTGCACCCCAACCCCATGGTAACCAGCCAAGAGTGGCAGGCAGAGACCTTGAGTTCTGTTGTCACCACTCCCTGTTGGGGAGACAAGTCCGAGGAGGCAGGAAGTCAAGGGTAGAAGAATCCTGGTGGTCAGGCAACCTGCCAAGCAGGAGAGTAGAGGGTTAAACCGGCTGGAAGGTTAAAGAAATGGGGGCAGAGAGTGGGGGGACTGTCAGCTTGGCAAGAAGTCTGTCCTCTGCCCACTCGCCCACTCGCGAGGATCCCATCATGCTGGGGGTGCGGGGGGGGGGGGAGGGGACAGATCAGAGCAGGGGGAAGGGGCGTCCAATCCCGGGCCCCGGGTGTGTGTTGGGGGGGGGGGGAGGCACATGGGGGAGGTAGCAGCGCAGAGCAGTCCGCGCCGTGTCACATGCGCGCGCAC